AACCAATTGTATTTCATTTTTAATAACATCGGGTAGAGAGTAAAACCACGTACCATAATAGCATCATGGAGATAATACTTACTTTTGATTTTATCTGTAACAGACTAGACGTACTGACATCAATAGCAAAATATAGAGAGTAGATGTACCTTCTGTAAAACAACGACCCTAATAATATTACGAAGAAGGTAGAACAACTTACCTTACTAGCTTCGCGGAGAGATTTGACATACTCCTTTCTATAACATTATAGAGAGAGTAGATAGACGTACTAACTTTAATGGCATTACGGGTATACCATAACGGAGAGTGTAGAAGTACTTCCTTTAAGAACACAATCGAAATATAGAGATCCGATATACTTACTTTAGAGTAGAACTACTAGATTTAATAACAACGTGGAGAACGTACAACTATGTACGTTAAAAGCATCATGGAGATAATACTTACTTTGATATATCTTCCGATAGAGTGGACATGGTAGAAAAACTTACTTTACTAGCACCACGGAGAGATTAGACATACTCTTTTCTATAACATTATAGGGAGAGTAGATAGACGTACTAACTTTAATGGCATTACGGGTATACCATAACGGAGAGTGTAGAAGTACTTCCTTTAAGAACACAATCGAAATATAGAGATCCGATATACTTACTTTAGAGTAGAACTACTAGATTTAATAACAACGCGGAGAACGTACAACTATGTACGTTAAAAGCATCATGGAGATAATACTTACTTTGATATATCTTCCGATAGAGTGGACATGGTAGAAAAACTTACTTTACTAGCACCACGGAGAGATTAGACATACTCTTTTCTATAACATTATAGGGAGAGTAGATAGACGTACTAACTTTAATGGCATTACGGGTATACCATAACGGAGAGTGTAGAAGTACTTCCTTTAAGAACAAAACCGAAATAGAGAGATCCGACATACTTACTTTTAGAGTAGAACTATTAGCTTTATAACACCGCGGAGAACGTACAACTACGTACGTTAAAAGCATCATGGATATAATACTTTGAAATATCTTCCGATAACGTAGACGTAGTAGAAAACTTACCATACTAGCATCTTTTCTATAGAATAATGTAGAGAGTAGATAGACTTACTAACTTTATTGGCATTACGGGTATACCATAACGGAGAGTGTAGAAGTACTTCCTTTAAGAACACAATCCAAATAGAGAGATCTGACATACTTACTTTTAGAGTAGAACTACTAGCTTTAATAACATCGCGGAGAACGTACAACTACATACGTTAAAAGCATCATGGAGATAATACTTACTTTGATATATCTTCCGATAGAGTAGACATAGTAGAACAATTTACCTTACTAGCACCGCGGAGAGATTTGACATACTCTTTCTATGACATGGGAGAGTAGATTGACGTACTAACTTTAATGGCATTACGGGTATACCATAACGGAGAGTGTAGAAGTACTTCCTTTGAGAACAAAATCGAAAGAAAGATCCGACATACTTACTTTTAGAGTAGAACTACTAGCATTAATAACATCGCGGATAACGTACAACTATTTACGTTAAAAGCATCATGGAGATAATACTTACTTTGAAATATCTTCCGATAGAGTAGACGTACTTACACCCATAGCAAAATATAGACAGTAGAAGTACTTACTTTGAATCCGTGACCTTAATAACATTACGAAGAGAGTAGAAATACTCTCCTCTGTAGCATAATGGGGAGATTAGCAGAAATGCAATAGGAGTAGATGCCCTTGTTTTAATAATAGCTACTTACGAAATACTAATGATAGTAGAGTACGTACTTTAATAGTATAACAAAGATAGCAGAAGTGCGTACTTTAATTGATAACCAAAATGCATAGAACGGATATACCTTAACTTTAAAACAATAATTGATCCATAACAGGGAAAATACAAGAACAGTTAAACATGCCTGTATTTTAACAGAGTAACTGTCTTTCGATGAGTATAAGTTACTACAGAATAAAATATATATTACTTATTATCTTCCATACCATAACGGATAGAATTGAGTGATTACATAATTTTTATCGGAATAGCAAAGAGAGTAGGCATTCTTAGTTATAAGATGACCATAGAGTAGAAGTTATTACCACCTTAGAAGAACAGCGAGAACATACAAAGTATTTTCCATTATAATAATGGAGAAAGGGGCTAACGTCCACTCAACACAACCCAGGTCATTTCGGGACTAGCATCTTGTACAATTTTATTTCAATAATTCGATTGTGTGTGGAGGGGTCTTTTGCTATGGGTAGGCAGGTGACCCTACTCCTTGTCACTTATACACCACTTCACTCAGTAACAGACTTTACGTTATAAAGTGAACGCATTAGATCTTTCGCCCCACCATCATTTTAAAGGAGATAAACCATCTGATTTAATTCAAAATAAAGTGTTAGGCAGAGTAATTCTGATGTTTTACTGGAGCAGGTTTGCATCGATGTGTTTTATTATATTTTTCAATGCTAACCTTTGGATGTTTTCAAACATTGAAATACACTACGCCAGGACAGTACCTAATTCATGCCAAATATAAATTGTTTTAAAACCATTTGTCCAAAAGAGTATGAGAAACGGTGATATAGTGGACAAAGCGATTCTTTATTAAAATTAAATTTCAAGTTAATCAATTACAGCAAGTATGATTAATGAAGCACATCTGAAGTTTATAGTTTTTATTTTATCCATATAATGAGCTGAACATTGCAAACATGATTGATAACGAAATATGAATCGTGCAGACTGCAGGGTTTTGACTAAATAAGATCACGACTATGGGCATATACCTCATATACTAGGGCATATACTATACATAAAAACGCACCAAACAAAACAACAAATGGTACATTTATATGGTCCAAATATTATGAATATACTAATTGCACTACCGAATAATTGCAGCTTTACAATAAAGTTAAAATGAAGTTAGGCTCTATATTTCTGTTTAGAGAATGGTGATAAAAATATGCAATCTGATTAAAACACAGACCTTATTTCGTTTCGTTTTTTATAGTTCAAAATTTCGTTTTACTTATCTTTACTACACTAGGATCTGGAAGGGTTGTTATATAACAGACGTTCTAGTTGATGTGAGGAATTAGCCGATGAAAGGTCTGTTACAGCGAGTTCTTGTGTAAACCCCTAGAAACGTCAACGCTGATTGATTAATCAATGTCTGACGTCATAGGACCTGATTAATCAATGTCTGGCGTCATAGGACCAAAAGCCGCTTGTATGACCCCTGACGCGACTTCCCAGTACAACTTGTCACATCTTTATGTAGTGTAGCCCATCGAAATTATATATAGATCTGTATTTTAATCAGATTGAAAAAAAAAAAATGAAACTATCTGTCCTACAATGATATCTGGGTTGATCTGGATATACATGTAGATGCTATTAAAGGGTATAGGGTTTTAAACTATTTTCTAGCATCTTTTAAACATACTTAATAGTTACTACTAAAACGTGCAAAACTTTAATATATACAAAGATCAGCAAACCTCAAAAGTCATCACTACAGTAGGAGTAGACGTGGGTGGCAATTACGAGTGCATGGAAAAAAGTCATTCAGTGAAGTAGGCGACACTACTATTTGTTACGTACAGACAATACAATAAAAGTGTATTGCCTTGATTGTCAGCAATTCCATTTATTTAGAGTCCGAACAAAATTCCCATATTTAAAGCGATATTTTACAGCAATTAATCTAGAAATATCAGACACAAACCAAATTAAATTATATGAATGTTTTAAAAGTTGGTTTTGGTAATAACAACGAAATTGGGTTATTATATTGTTGAAAGAATGTACGAAATGTACTTCTGTATCTTAACAACGTCATCTAAGGTATACGTATCTTTGCATTGTTCACATTTAAGGAAGATTCTTAACTACATATATAAATATTACAAGAGTTATCACCTCGGTAGAAGCGGGAGTAAATTACAGTATGTCACACACACACAAGTGTCTCGGCAAGTTATTTCAAAATTCGACGAAGCCAGACCTTCAGACAGCGGTGCCAAATTTTACTATTTTAGGTCTTTCCGAGTAACGGAACATTAAACAAACATATGTATTTGCATTTAATTCCAAATCGAAGAGATTTAGAAAGATAAGGTCCACCTTCTATCAATTTCAAACTATTTTGATAATTTGCATACAGTGTTCGAAAGCTGATAACCCATTTACTTTTAGATAACTACATATGTCGCCACACAGGTTTCACAATACAAATCGTAAAAGAAGTTCAGTCTCTAAAATGGTCACCGAAGGGCCAGGAGAAAGGGCCCGACCTTTTGGTTGTAAACCGCTATCAGTTTGTTGTGCATGGATTAAACGTTTGTGGGGTGGATAATCATCGCAGTATCAAGGTAGTATGTACTATCACGCAAACACTAATTCTTCGCTTCGTCGTTAAGAGAACTAGTAGAAGTATGCGTGGTTGTGTTGTTTCTCCAAAACGGCCAACAAAAGCAATTTTATAAGCAGTTAATATGAGGTGTGTTCTGTTTGAGACTTGTTTTTATGACAGTTTCTCAGTGTTTACTTCCATACTTTTAGAAGTATTTCAAATGTTAATATTTTGAAATGATTTGGCTTTATTCTTCCTTAAAGTAAGATGATGTTCGACGTCACATTTGGCAGGTAATGGGAGTTAACATGCCGTGAGTAACCAGAGATATGTTTCATTTTGGTGATAGATCGTAATTTAGATCGTTATGCTTAATTCACTACGGTCATATCAAATATATCATACGTTCAATATACTTTACACGGACACGTTTCTGTAAATAGTAGCTACGTCTATCGTCGAGAATCCGCTTTCATATTTGGATATATTTGCACTAGAAATAATATTATTCTATGTATAATCCTTGCATCTAAGGTAAACGTATCACCTACCTTGTAGGATACGCCCAATCAGTCCAATATTGGACGGATAATGAAATATAAATACCACTTACTGTCATCAACCGTACCATCTTAACCTGCCTTGGGTGCACTACCTGAAATATCAAATAACATATTAGTATTATGTGTCATACGAATGCTACTTACAGTATAGTGCTACTGAACAGCCCACCTGCAGCTATGCCATTTTCATTGTCATAGAAATGAAAGTATAGAGGCAGAGTAAGGCGGTTACATTAAATTGTTTACAAAGGAAGAATTACAGATGAATTTCGAAGTATTCAAAGATACTGTGCCTGGGGTTCAATAAACTTTAAAAGTTAAAATATAAACGGAGCACAATAACATCTTGGATTCCAATTTCTATCCCCAAATGAAAAATTCCACTAATTGTTAAGTCCATACGGAACCTATAGCTCCTGTCACATAGTAAAGAATAAAGCTAACTTATGCTTAACGCGCTGAATTGTTCTGAGATACGCTCATATTCTCGGCCTAAATATGATGCTCACTTCCTCCGTCACACCCAAAGCTTCCCAGGAGAACTATTGAGTAGCAATCTTTGTAGGTGGGGTTCACTATTTGGTGGACATATACAGGCGACGACCTACAACTTGGAGGACAGACACAGGCGACGTGGTCCCCACAATATGACAGTGAAGTTTATGACATCATCCATGTACTGGTCCATTATGGTTTGACACACCTCACGGACGACGGTAGATATTGTATTGTAACGATCGTCCATCTTCATGTCCAAATGTTTGGTACCTGACGCGGGAGGCAGAGAGTAAATGCAAGCTTAAGACCAGGCTCAAGAGGATCTCGAAACCAGGTGTACTGCTTGGTGAATCTGTGTTGGACTCGCTCGAGGGTCTCGTCATCGTAACTCGATGAAACTCGATAAGAACCTGGTCACATGAACTTCCACACGGTCATTTTGCTGACAGTTGTTGTACATCGGAAAATGCTATGTATACATTGGGTATTCGCTGTGACAAAAGTTTCAGGTAAGATGGACAGCGAATGCTCTACGTATACATAGCGTATTTGTCACTATCTTGTCACCAGCTCAGAATTTTGAATATGGTGAACCTTTTTCCGAGGCCCGAACGCAAATCGGACAAATACAACTTACGCCCAACGTATCACGAACGAATGACAACCTAAATGAACGCACACCCAAATTTTCAAAAACGCCGGGCACACGTTTGCTCTATTCGCAATAGTGTGACAGGGTATTTGATGAAATGAATCAGGCTAAAAGCACACATTTCATTGTCAACCTCGTATGTGCCACTAATAAAGACTGGCAATCCTTAAGATTCTTTTTAGCGTACCCAGGCATACGGGCCCGACCCATTAGTCAAAACGTAATTGAAATATGCAGCATTTGGACTGAAACATGAGCTATGTGAAAAGCGTGTTTTACAAAATAAGAACGGATAGTCGCTATGTCTGTTCGCTAACTATAAGAACTATAAATATTTTATGATGAAAAGCTGGATAAAGTTTTTTCCTTTTTCATATAATATACACAAAAAGCAATATTTTGTAGCGGAACAAATAATCGCTAACTTAATGTCCCCGAGTGTGGTTTGGGCGATACAGGAATCTCCTGCAAACTACAATATTTGGAATCTCAATAACAAAATGGTTCAATTCCGTTCAGTATTTACAAACTTATGATGAACTGAAATTCGATCGATCTATGCTGTGCTCTATATAAATAATAAACATTACTGATTCTATTTTATCTCTTGTCACTTCTTTTTCTGAAAACAACACCGGTCTACATTTTTTCGATTTAGCAGTCTTTTTATTGTCGGACGACGTCATGATATTCCGTTAAAACAAACCCACCACCCACTTTAAGCTTTGCGAAATCTAAATAATCCAATGGGTTCCAAGCCGGAAGATTGTCTAACGTTGATATTTTGATTAATTAACTGTTAAATAATTAATATGAGTAGATTTTAGCATGGATTAAGTGGTGATTAAATTGTCATTTTCCGAAATTTAAATCACGCACGGTTACATTAGTAAACGGTCGTCTGAATAAGAGCTGGTCCAAATGTTAGCAGAGAAACAACATCTGTCGAATGTATCATTAATTCACCCAAGATTTCCAAAGAGGAAATCAAGAATAAAGGCCTTAATTTAATATTACATTATTTCGAAACCAAAGAAGAATCTATCACTTGACCATGTTGGCTGTGCTGATATTCTTTCTGTTAAAGTGACCATGTTGGAAAATTGCGAAAAATGTTTTAATGACATCACGACTTTTGAATATGGCGTTTATAGGTATGGGATTTGTTGGCTACACCGGTGGAGAGAATTGGCAGCTAATTAATAGAAACTGACGTAATGGTGTTACAGATCACAGTTTCATCAGAGACGTGTATGTAGGCCCAAATGAAGACGGACAAAATTTGTATAAACCATGTATACCCAGCCCAACCAAATCTTAAAACATAATCTAGACGGATAAAATATCAGGCATTACACACACAAACAAACCATAATGAAAATCTAGCCATAATTAAAACCTTACAAGTAAAACATGAATAATTTGTCGGCGGTAGCAGAATATGCCAGAATACTACTGGTGCATAAATTAAAAGATACCGTGATACTAAAGGGTTTTTTCCTCATCGGGTATGTTATAAGTGTTTGCTAAAACCAATGCTTATGGTTGCATAGGTTTCTAAAATTGTACTATTGATAGATCATGCTTATTGTGACATAGTCCATTGGCCAATTACCCTATTTTACCTAGATTTCGTCTAATGGTTTGGATGCAGCTATGGCGGGTGTGGCGCCAGACAGGGTAAGCTTACTCTTCCGGACACCTGTAACCACTGTTTGTCGTGTATTGTGTACACGTTGCACAGTCCATTTGCTGATTACAATATTTTGCCTATACCGTCTTTTAGGAATTCGAATTTTGTCTAATGGTTTGGATTGTTCGTACTTGATTTTATTTTATTTACTTAAAAGCGCGTAATATTTATTATGGCATATTCCATTTGGCTCATCGATTTCGACTAACAGCACCTGCAATCTTTTATTAATAAATATTGGCAACCATACCCTTCATCATAGTTAAGTTTTGTGTACAGATTGGATTAAAACAAGGGAATTATAAGATCCTGATGATGACAATTTGACACGTTTAAGACTTCAAATTTTGTCTAATGGTTTGGATTATTCGTACTTGATTTTATTTTATTTACTTAAAAGCCCGTGATATTTATTATGGCGTATTCCATTTGGCTCATCGATTTCGACTAACAGCACCTGCAATCTTTTATTAAAAAATATTGGCAACTATACTCTTCCTCACAGTTAAGTTGTGTGTACAGTTTGGATTAAATCAAGGCATTCTGCTGAATTATGAGATTCTGATTATGACAATTTGACTGTATTTTCTAGACCATCATAATATGCTCCGCAACGTAATTGCAGTTCTGTAGATCATCGAATATGGAATGATTTTAGTCCGAACATTCCCAAATTTACTCCCAAGACGTGAACCTGGTATTTTAGCTGTCTAATAACGATACAGCCCAGGTCAAATTTTCACAAACCTCTATGAGTTGGTAACTGATGATGGCTTTATTGTCAACGTTTTGTAAAGACAGTTATGTCAAGAGCCCGGTTTGCCGAAACGTGCACACGAGTGACCCTGATAACGTAGATAACATATAGGGGATCATCTCTCTATGACCCTTTTGCAAGTCCAACCCTATATACAGTCATCTCCAGCTTGCTTGTCAAAGATAATAAGACCATATAGACGGATTAATATCGATGAACGGATGGTTGGTTGGAAATTGGTATCAAACAGTACATTATTGTGTGCATGTCTACATTTCTTGTAAAATCATTGATATTTCTGAAGAAATAGGTGTTTTATATTCTTTTCATGTATTTTTTTAATGCCAAAAATAAAACTTGGTATCATTTTACAGATAAATCGTTGTTTTATTGAACTTGTCTTCCCCAGTAGCTACTAGCTAAGTAGACTTGGAACCATAGGATGTCAATTATACACCGAACCTTCTTTACCTTAGGTTAAAGGTCACCGCTATCTGTTCGAGATTAAGGGTCAACGCTAATTTCATTCAAAACATATTTATTTATATCAATCCACAAAATTGTCGGATTAGTCTTTAGATTTACACCATAACAGATATGAGTAAAAGTCGACATCGTTTGGGATCGCTGATTGCTTTATCCTTAACTTTACAATTTCTTTTACTTTCAATTTCAGAACTAAAGCAAAGATATCATGTTGTGGAAAAATAGTTGCTTTATCATGAAATGAGACTTAAAACTGCCAACATGTATTTTTGAAATAGGAAGTGGTTGAATCGAATTTTACCTATTTTCTATGGGGCCAAGGGGCCGCGGCGCGCGTTAAATAACCCTTTGACAGCTGGGATTCGATATAAGAAAAGGCCGTAGCGCCGCTATCCGGGTAAAATTTCCCTCATAGCCAACTGCATAGTGTGTGCCCGTTTTACTTGGCCCAAAACTGTAGGACGTTAACCTCACTTTCATTTCATGTTTTGGAATCATTGTACTTTGGGACACGATATCTAAACATTGATATACAACAATTTCTTTTTTATTGGATGAGTGTATGGTGTATGAGAAAAATATAAACCCGTAGACATGGCTAACCAGGCATACTCAACTGCCATTTAATTTAGAAATTACAATAAATTGAATGTAAATAAGTTAATAAAAATAAACTAATATGAATGTTAATCAGTTAATACAAATAAACAATCTGATTAAAATACAGATCTATATATCGTTTCGTTTTTTTTATACTTTCAATGGTCTAAACTACATGAGAATCAACAGGTTGTAGTTAAAGGTCACGTCAGAGGTCGTGCGAACGGCTTTGACCCTATGACGTCAGCCATTGATTAATCAATCAGCGTTGACGTTTCTAGTGGTTTACCCACAGTTCCGTGCATCGCACGCCAAGAAATCGTCGTAACAGGTGGTTTCATTGGCTAATCCCTCACGCCTTCGAGAACGCAGGTGATATAACAAGCCTTCCAGATCCTAGTGTAGT